TATTTGTGAGGCCCTGGGTTCTTCCCCAGCACCTAAAAAAAAAAAAAAAAAAAAAAAAAAAAAAAAAAAAAAAAAAGAAGAAGAAGAAGAAGAAGAAAGAAAAGAAAGAAAGAAAAATTAAATAGCACAATTGAATCACATCCTAATGAATATCTTAGTTTGTTTGGTTTAGTGCAGTATTAAAGTGCATCTACATTTAGCCATAGTAAAGATACAAATGCTCTTAAACTCTCATGCCTTTGAAACTTCCTTAGTTGTGAAACTGCCAATAGGAAGAATAGTTAAGTARAAGCTGATGACATCCTATTCTGTCAGTGTAGTGAGGTAGTTCAGTGTTTTTGTGAAGCCTCTACAAACATGTAATCCCAGGCTTTGCTTTGGGAGGTTTAAATAATGGGAATAATGAAGAGATACCTCCTGGAAAAGGATGCCAGACAAATCTCACACGATGTCAASGTGCCTTCCTTGGATGACAAGGATGTCAAAGTGACCTCCATCCCTAGTGACTGGTTTCTGAGAGCCACATCCRTAACATSTACAAGAGACTCGGGTAGAAAAATCACACTGCTGACTTCTGCTTTGCCAGGCAGCATACTCCTCTTCACACACATTTACCTGAGAAGTCATATTATAAGTAGAAGGTGCTGAGCAGGCGAGAGAGACTGCAGGAGAGTGGGATGGATGATGGTACCTGGGTGCCATCAATGAGGTTGGCTATGTGGCTTGGATCCTCACGGTGAGGTCTCCACCCTGCTCTCCTTAGAATTGTATTGGCAGAACATGGTCTCTGCTTCTCTGACTTTCYCTCTTCTGTATTCATGGTGTTCCTGTGAGTTCATTATGGTTTCCGAGGTACCTGCCAGTTTGGGAACTATGAGGCCAGAACCTGGTCATGTGGCCACATGTAGCTGCAAGGAGATCAGGAATACAATCTATTTAGTTTAACCTGGTAGTATCTGCACGGCTGAATTAGATGTCAATTTCTATAATTTTGTTCTCATAGGGATGTCTTAGATCCTTATTTACAAGCTCTTCAAGCATGGATGCTTATTTCCTCCTTATAATAATAATGATGATGATAATAAGAGTTCCAACAAGTCACCATTCATTGAGCACTAATGTGTAATAAGCACTCTACTAAGGCACTTTTCGTTTGTGTTTACACTTATAWTACTTAGACCAATATCAAAAGCTTCCTAAACACATATAATAGGAACAATATATTTGGGATGTATATAGGAAGTATACATGGAACAAGTATCCATAGAGAGCAACATATGTATGTGTCTTGTTCAAAATCATATAGTAATTAAGTGGCAAAGTAGTATTTGAGCTAGGCTATCTGATTTTAGAGTTCTGTTAACCACCAAGCAATATTACCTTTGATATTTACTGGCTATAAAAATGAAGAGCAATGTGATGTATTCGTGTTGGCATTATTCCCTGTTCTACATCATCAATATTACCTTTTCTACATATAGTATCTTYAAAGGATTCAAGTTGAATTCTTATGGTGCTGCTGAGCAAGCATGAAGGGGAAGAGAGACCTACTTAAAATAGTTCAGTGTTGCCAGGCCTGGTAGTGCACAYCTATAATCCCAGCAGCTTGAGAGGCTAAGGCAAGAGAATTGCAAGTTCAAAGCCAGCCTCAGCAACTTATCGAGACCCAAAGCAACTCAGCAAGACTCTGTCTCAAAGTAAAATATAAAAAAGGGCTGGGGATGTGGCTCAGTGGCTAAGGAACCCTGGATTCAATTCCTGAACCACCCCCMAAAAAATAGTTCAGTGTTAATTTCTTCCAAATTCCAGTCTGAGATAACATAGGTAGAAAGGGGGAGGCCAMCATTATCTCTCCTGATTTGATATGACGTCTCTGACTTGCAGAGGAGTGACATGAACACATTTTGCTAATGTCTTGACCACTCATTTTTGTTGCAGGAGGCCGAGGGAAGGATGGTGCCCCCATCATCACTTTTCCAGAGTTTGTGGGGTTTAAACACATCCCAGAGGAGGACTTCCTGAATGTCATGACCTACCTGACTAGCATCCCCAGGTGAGCTGAATATGGTGTTCTGCTACTTTCTCAGTCATGGGCCTTGCTCCACATTTGCCATGTGGCAGGCCTGGAATGAGGTGGAGCCTTCCAACAGCACAGTTTGCATTGGCATGTAACTAGGCCAATATCTCTGGCCCATCAATTAGGAACAACAGATGTGGAAAGAAATTAGAAAATATTGGCAAGTGGGGCACAGTGGTGCATGTGTGTAATCCCAGTGGCTTGGGAGGCTGAGGCAGGAGGATCACAGTTCAAAGCCAGCCTCAGCAATTTAGCGAGGCCCTAAGCACCTTAGAAAGACCCTATCTCTAAATTAAATTATAAAAAGGGCTGGGGATGTGGATCAGAGGTTAAGTGCTCCTGGGTTCAATCCCTGGCACACACAAGAAAAAAAGAAAGAAAGGAAGGAAGGAAGGAAGGAAAGAAAGAAACAGAAAATAAAGAAAGAAAAAGAAAGTTGAACAGGTATTAGTGTTGACTGTGCTGCCTGTGGGCAGTCCTTAAAACCACTGTAGAATGAATGAAAAACTGATGAATCCGCCCATGTTCCCTGGGTGGATTCAGGCCCTCTACTCCAGCAGAGGGTTATTCTAGCTTTCTGGATCACATTGCCGGGACACATGACCATTGCTGAGGAGCACAAACCATGATAAGGAGCTGTTTAATTTTTCTTTCCTAAATAAGAGCATTAGGGCAGAATTGATCACTGTCATTGTCTGATGATGAAACTAAGTCATAGAGCAAGGAAACGAAAAAGATAATGATAAAAACTGCTCTCAGTTCATGACAGAAATGTTTTCTGGCATCTGCTACTTCTGCCTCCTCCTGCCCAGGTCTCACATTTAGGCCTCCCATGTACCCAAGTCTTTAAGGGAGAGGGTTGGGAAGGAGCTCATATTGATCGCTGCGTTTCACAGAGGCACAGCTGGGAATGAGGTCCAAGACCTGATTCTAGATAGCATTGGGTGCCCTGTCCTGCATGGCCGGCCTGGCCAGGAAAGGCCCTGCCCTCCTGAGATTTATTGCCTGTGACATCATCTCTTATTTAATGAGGGTTGTTAAGAATTTACACAACAGACATGTATGTGCTCTTGCGCTGGCTTCCCATCTGCCTTATATATGATTTAGGGGTAAACACCAGCTTTGTGACTGGAGGGCCATCTGGAGTCTGATCCCACCATGGAGAGTGCAATGTTGATTGATTTAATGAAACCCACTCTCAAATGGCTTTTTCTTTGTTCTCTTTTATCCATCTTTCTTYTTCAGAGGTGGTGATGGGTTTATTTTTAATATACTTCTTCAAAGTTCAACACTTAAATTGCATTTCACCATTTCATCCTTCACCCTGAATTAATGCAGACATAAGAGTGTTTGAGGACATCCTTTGTTGCTTGGAGAGAAGGTGTCACATAGCTTCTGGGCTTCACTCACCGTGGTTCACAGTGAGGAACACCCTCCCTCTCCCCCTCCCTCCCCCAAGATACTGACTCCTCCGMATTCATGGCCCTCAGCTCTGACCTCATCTCTTCAGAGCTTGTCTCTTCTGATTCATTTCTGCTCTCATAGACTCTTTTATCTTGATTTCCACAGAATCTGAGCTTCTGCCTGTAGAACACCGTAGTCAGTGGAAATTATTTCTACATCTCCCATGAGAYTGTAAACTTCTCAAGAGTGGGATCAGTGCCTTTTTTGCTTTGTTTTCATGTTTGATCTCCAGYCCTCGAACAGTGTCTGACACATGATAGCTTCTGGAGTAGTGTTGGTGGGATTTCCAGCTTTGACAATGACTCATTCCAAACAGAAGGCGTTGGATGTTTCATAGCAGCTCAATTCACAAAAGCTAAACTGTGGAAGTAAYCTAGAAGCCCTTCAACTGATGAATGGATAAAGAAGCTTTAAAAGAGAATGAAATGATGGCATTTGCATATCATGCTAAGCAAAGTAAGCCAATTCTAAAAAAACAAAGGCCGAATGTTCTCCCTTATAAGTGGATGCTGATCCATAATGGTTGTATGTGAGGGGGAGAATGGAGGAACTTAGACTGGGCAAAGGGGATGGGAGTAGGAAAGATGGTAGAATGAGATATCTAGGTACATATATGTATATATGGTGCAACTCCACATTGTGTGCAAACAGAGAAATAAAAAGTTGCACTCCATTTGTGTACAATGAATCAAAATGCATTTTGCTGTCATGTATAACTAATTAGAACAAATTTTTAAAAGGAGAGAGAAAAAAGAAGGCATTGGCTATATGGTCAAAGGGGGCACCCTGACTCCTCACTCCTTCCTTCACCTCCCAGGGATTTAGGGAGTTGAACTTGGACTTCCTCTTGGACCCAGTTACATTTCAGAACAATGACTCATCCTGTTAGCAACTTCTCCTTTGATGTGAGCAATAAGAATGAGAGTGGCCAGCTATGTGGGCACTGGGTGAAAGGGGTCCCCACTCTCCTGTTTGTTTTAGACTCACCCTCCAATTTTCCTAATTCCCTAGGTATATCCAGTGCTAAACTGAATGGGTAAAATTCATCTTGTACTTGCCACCTTTTGCAAATCATGCCAAGGACAGCATGTTAGTGCCATCTGAACCCAGGTAGMGAGAGAAGCAAGGAGGGTTGTAACTGCCTCCTTGCAGAGGTAGAAGAGGTGACCAAGTAAGGGGCTACTRTTTTTGCCTCCCTTCTTTTTTCTGCTTTGTGCTCCTTGTATAATTTCTTGTAAACGAGGACTATTATTTCCTAGAATGCTGTCTCTTGAGAGAGTAGCCATCAGACCAGTTTTGCCCCTGTCCCTTTCCTGGCTTTTGCTCACTCCTGCTTGTGGCCCCACCTCTTGTTCCTTTCAACATAAAGCAGAGACACAGGGAAGAAGGCCTGAAAGGAGAATTTGACCCAAACATTGATTTCCATTTTATGGTTCAGGCTCCAGAGAATGAAACCGCTGTCCTTGGTTTTATGACTCCTATTTATCATGATTTGCATCTTCCTGGTGGTTGCCTAGTTACCAGGTGGCAGAGCCCTTCCCAGGTTGCAAAATATTTTATAGGCAGTTGGCAGAGGACTCGTGGTATTGAATGGGAAAATGGATACAATAGAATAGGAAAGTAGCAAGGTGCTCAGGGCAGGGACAGGGTCTCTGTACCTGAAGTTAGTAAGGATCTCCCACTGTGGTTGGCGTGGAGAATGTGGAAAGGCTTCACCAGGTCTCTATTGCGTGCCCAGGGTGTGGAGAGCTATGCATGGTTTTATAAAAAACCAAAAGACCATGAGACAGTGCCCTCAGCCTTTGGAAATTCATCATATAACCTTGTAGTCATGATGTTTTTTAAAATTGTAATTAAGGTAGTATAGAAACTCAGAAGACAGAAAAAATCTCTTAAGATAGAAATTCAGAAGACAGAAAAAGTCTCTTTAAACAGTGAAAACTTCAGGAATGAAATGGCCTTGAAGGATGGAATGGTCTCCACAGGTAGATACAGAGGGCAACATTCCAAAAAGAGAATGGGTCTAAAAGGCTTGGATACAGACCAAACCTGGACTGAAACCCAGATCCTGGCTGGGCATGTGSTGCACTCCTGTAATCTCAGTGAGCAGGAGGCTGAGACAGGAGGATTGTAAGTTTAAAGCCAGCCTCCACAACTTGGTGAGACACTGTCTTAAGAGGGCTGGGGATATATAGCTCAGGGTTAAGTCTCCCTGGGTTCAACCCCAGTGGGTGAGGGGAAGAAATCCAAATCCTACTGCTTACTAACTATAATCTGGGACAAGTGGCTTACCTTGTATTTCTGTCTCCCTTGGATTTTGAAGTTTGAAGAGCATTATGGGGGGGAATTACAGCCCACCAAAGTTGACTGGAACAGAGTGATGAGGCTCTGTCTTACATAGGAGTGAGACATTAGAGCCAAGAAGACAGCCGGGAACAGATTGGGCAAGGTCTTTACCACCGAGTTGAGGAACTGAGGCACAGGAGCAAGAAAAGGCCTTTGGAGGGTTCAGGGAGGGAGCCGTGAGCAGACTGATTTGGTGGTGCTGTTCAGAATGGGCCAGAGGGAGCAAGGATAAGGAGGCAGGGAGGACAACTAGGGGCTTCTGCATGGGGATAGGTGCAGAATGGAAGGTGGTGGCCAGAAGACTGGCTTGAAAGGAGTGACAGRAAAGGTGGGTACTGGTGAGAGGGACGTGGTGGAGGAGGGAGAGAAGCTCTAGCAGGAGTCCTGCAGTTGCATCTGTTGCCTTTACATGTYTGGGTGAGTGGATTTGAGGCCTCATTTGGGTTTTGATGGTTTCACTRTGTTTTATTTTACTGATATTTCTGGCTCTCCCTTATCAAAGTCATCCTAGGACAATGGTWCTCAACTTTGGCTGCATGTTAGAATCACCTGGGTTTTTTTAAAAACTCCAGATTCCCAGACCAGAATCCAGAACAATTAAATCATGCTTTCTGGATTTAGGCCATTCCCTTGCACAGCCAGRGTGAGGGTCATTGAGCTTGGAGAGGAGAAGCTGTGGTGATATGGAACAGGCATTCAAAATSTGTGGAGAAGAAAACTTGGAATCAGACTTAGCTTCTGGATAAGGTGGGGTAGTGGAGAATGTGGGGAACCTCTACAACTGTGAACCAAAGTGAACCTTTCTTCTTATAAGTTGGTTATCTCAGGTATTTTGTTACAGTAACTAAAAGCTCACCAACAAGCAAGATAGTGCCACTTAAGAACATGCAGCCTGGGGCTACATCTGTAGCCAGGTTGTTTAAAAAAATTGGAAACACATTCTGAACCACAGCAATAGTAACTATTTTAAATCACATTTGTTTGTCCCCCAATCAGCATTAGTATAATTTAAGTAYGGGTTTTTATTGCTCTTTCTCTATTCAGTGTCCTTGTTTTATTCACAGTTTTAAGTTCATCATTAGGAATTAGATTAATTACTTTTGTTAGACAGTACAAGAGTCATATTTCTTTACATTGTTAATTTCATTATTGGCCATTTCAAATTT